CACTACAGAAAGGATGAAGACAAATTGGAGAGAGTCCAGTGAGGGCAACAAAAATAATTAGAGGGCTGGGGCACATAATTTATAAGGAGAGTCTGAGGGAGCTGGGCTTATTTAGTCTGCAGAAAAGAAGAGTGAGGAGGCAATTGATAGCAGTCTCCAAATTCCTTAAGGGGAGTTCCAAAGAGATTGGAGCTAAACTATTTTCTGTGGTGGCAGATGACAGAGCAAGGTACAATGGTATCAAGTTGCAGTGGGGGAAGTCTAGGTTGGATATTGGGAAAGAACTATTTCACAAGGAGGATGGTGAAGCATTGGAATGGTTTACATAGGAAAAAGGTGAAATTTCTATCATTAGAGGTGCTTTCTGAAGGCAAGGTTTGACAAACCTCTGACCGGAATGATTTATTAGGATTGTGTGGCCAGTTGGGGCTAAGCCCTTGGGGCTCGTCTACACTGGCCCCTTTTCCGGAAGGGGCATGTAAATTTCACCAGTCGTCGTAGGGAAATCCGCGGGGGATTTAAATATCCCCCGCGGCATTTAAATAAAAATGTCCGCCGCTTTTTTCCGGCTTTTAAAAAAGCCGGAAAAGAGCGTCTACACTGGCCCCGATCCTCCGGAAAAAGCGCCCTTTTCCGGAGGCTCTTATTCCTACTTCAAAGTAGGAATAAGAGCCTCCGGAAAAGGGCGCTTTTTCCGGAGGATCGGGGCCAGTGTAGACGCTCTTTTCCGGCTTTTTTAAAAGCCGGAAAAAAGCGGCGGACATTTTTATTTAAATGCCGCGGGGGATATTTAAATCCCCCGCGGATTTCCCTACGACGACTGGTGAAATTTACATGCCCCTTCCGGAAAAGGGGCCAGTGTAGACGTAGCCTTGGGTTCTACGCTTCCTGGCAGGGTTTTCTTTGTGTGCCTCAGAGGCTCGCAGCATCCCTATCACTGCCACGAAGGTAAGAGTATCCCCCTATCAGAGCCCTTTTCATCATAGTCAAGTCCAGGGTATGGGAGGTCAGTCCCTTTGTTAGTCCACAGGGCCTCCCTGTTTCTTGCAGGCAGCCCACCCAGGGCTGTGTCTAGACTGCATCCCTTTTGCGGAAAAGGGATGCAGATTAGACACATCGCAATTGCAAATGAAGCAGGGATTTAAATCTCCCCCGCTTCATTTGCATGAACATGGCTGCCACTTTTGTCTGGCTCGGGGCTTTGCCAGCAAAAAATGCCAGTTTAGACAGGGATCTTTTGGAAAATAAAGCCTTTTCCAAAAGATCCCTTATTCCTCTTAAAATTAGAAATAAGGGATCTTTCAGAAAAGGCTTTATTTTCCAAAAGATCCCCGTCTAGACTAGCACTTTTTGCTGGTAAAGCCCCGAGCCGGAAAAAAGCAGCAGCCATGTTCATGCAAATGAAGCAGGGGAGATTTAAATCCCTGCTTCATTTGCAATTGCGCTGTGTCTAATCTGCATCCCTTTTCCACAAAAGGGATGCAGTCTAGACACAGCCCACTTGTTCTGGCCCAGGGCCCTACGGGGAGGGAGGGGGAGAGAATAGACCTGAGTGGGTTGCAAGACTTGGCTCTTACCCTACAGAATAGCAGCCCCTCCCTGAGCCACTTCCCCAACCCTTCCTGAGAACCGATGCCTTCGGTCAGGCTTTATTGCAGGCTGCCTAGGGTCAGTCTCTTGTGCTGGGCTGCTCTGTTCTCCTTCATTTCTCCTCTGGTCTGTCCCTCCACTCCTTCCCCGAGCCTTGCCTGAGGGAGGGTTATTTATGGTGCACCCATCAGCCTTAACTGGACTCAGGTGCTCTGATTAGCCTTCCCTTCAGGCTGATGACAGATAGGCTTGAGGTGTTGAACTGGCTGGGTTACAATCTCTGGCAGCCTATACTGGGAACATAAAACTGCATACCCAGCTCCCCGCATATCTGCCTTCAATTAGGCCTCCGCTGCCCCCTGCTCTCAGGCTGCCACAACTGGTTCTGCTTTGAACAGAGGGTTGGACTTAATGACTTCCTGAGGTCACTTCTTACTCCAATCTATGATTGTATGATTTGATTTGATGATCACACAAAGAAGGTGAACTCCCTCATAGTGTCCCATCTGGTAGAGGTAACTGGCAAGGACAAACCTAGTGGTTAGATAAGGGGTGGAGATGTGTGACTAGATACTAAATGAGAAATACTGACTCCGCCTATGTCACACCAGCTATCAATTAAGGAAAAACTAGCTGGGAGCTAGCTAGAGAAACTTGCAACTGGTTGGCAAAGGGGAAACAACTGCCAATCTAATTAGCCCAGGGCTACATGAAAGTCTCAAGAGAAGGAAGCCCAAGGGGGAAGGCAAGAGAGTGGTAGTGCTTCCATCCTAACTGCACAGACTGAGAAGTCCCTAAGGCTGAAACCCCCAAGATTAATGTGGTGAGAAGGTGATGGAACTGCATCCTGAAAATAAACTGCATTAATGATTGCCCAGCCAGGAGGTCTCTGAGAAGTTTTTGGAGCAGAGTAGAGACTAATGGGTAGATGGGCTTACAACAGCCTCTTAGACTGACTAGGAGTTTAAAAGGGGCTTGGTGCCTACTATCATCTCTTAGCAGTCTTCCTGGCATCTGATGTATATATTAATTGTCTCAAGTGCGTAGGGGAAGAATAAATGCCTGGCACATTGCGCTATCTATAGCATTTACACCATGAACTTACAAAGAGGCAAAATGGACTTCAGATCCTTCTATTTGAAGAGGCCTTTGACACTGAAGCCTCTTAGTTCTGATAGTTCTAAAGGATCCTGCTGTTGGAGTCAGTGCCAGTTCCAAGAGTGGGAATATGCAGAGGTCATGCAAAGAGAAACTGCAAGCTTTTTGTAATGTTTTTTACAATGAAATTGAGGCAGGAGTGCAGGGTCACCCTTTACAGAGTAGAAATTATGGCTTTTCATATGCCAAACCTTCCCCTAATATTATTACATAGCACTGCTCTCGCTAACTTCTGCCTTTGACACCACCAGAACCAGAAAACAGCACCATGGGGTCAGCCAAGAAAAGAGGAAAGCAGCTATGTGCTGCATTCATATATTTGGAGAGGCATAAGAAGGAATACAAAGGGGCTAGAAAGGTCAGCAGGGATGTGTGTCAAACTGGAAGGCTACATCTAGATTGGCCCCTAATTCCGGAAAAGTCATGCAAAGCAGGTAAGTCAGAATAGGGAAATCCGCGGGGGATTTAAATATCCCCCGCGGGATTTAAATAAACATGTCCGCCGCTTTTTTTCAGGCTTGGGGAAAAGCCGGAAAAAGGCGTCTAGACTGGCGCGATCCTCCGGAATAAAGCCCTTTTCAAGAGGATCTCTTGAAGGTGTATACTGTTCCTCTCATGTCTCTGAGTCATTCAGCTAATAGACCCCCAGAATGTACACTGGCTAGAGAGGGAGTATTATGATTGGTTACCTCTGATGTAACAATGGCTCCCTTTAAGAATGAGCTAAACTATTGTGTTGACCCTGTCTGTAATCATAACAATCTGATACATAGATGATTAATAATTTAGCTTAATTTGAACATAATTTATTCAAATATATATAAAATTGCAAATACATTATATTAAGAAAATGTCAGAGTCTGTTTTATTTCATTATTAACATCATTTTAGGTCACAGGAAAGATCTGACCAGTGCTAAATTTCTTAAAAGAACCCAGTTCAAAACTATATTTTAAGTAAAACTAATTGTGAGATTTACTTGTAAATTCTCAGAAAATTAACGTAGTATTCAAAGAATAAATGTGATAAATTTGGGGAGGTTATACTGCATCCTCCATACATAACAGAGGTTGAATCCCTTATTTAAGTGCAAAACTCAACACAGGCATAACTATAAACCCAATAAGTCATCTGAAGAAGTGGGTTGTGCCCACGAAAGCTCATACCATCTACATGTTTTGTTAGTCTTTAAGGTGTTACTAGACTATTCATTGTTTTTTAACTTTTTCCTGTTATAGACTAACTCAGCTACCCCTCTGAAGCTTATAAAACCAATGTAAGCACTAGGGATGATAGATATAGTGTAACTGAATAGTCGAGTAGCAGCATGAAATCTTATTGGTTACATGACTATTTGATAGTCCACAGGGGCGGGGCCAACAAGCAGTGTGCTCCCAGTTCCAATCCTAGGGAGCCCCCTGTTACCCCACATTGCTGCCTCTGTATCAGAGGCAGCAGCATGGGGTGGAAGGCAGGAGCTTGTGCACACAAGCGGAGCCACTTTAAAAACCAGTTCCCCGCTCAGACTGGCTGCCTTCTGCCCCACACTGCTTTCTCTGATAAAGACACAGCAGCACAGGTTGGTAGCAGCCCCTGTCCATGGGGGTCCAAGCTCCCCACGGAGACAGGCTGCAGGTGAGAGGGCAGGGAGGCTGCTGTGAAGCAGCCTCTGTCCATAGGGGGTTTGAGCAACGCACGGACAGAAGCTGCTTTATTTTCCACGGAGACAAAGGCAGCAGTGCAGGGAGGAGCAGGTGGCACTGCGGAGCTGGTGCTGGGGGGGAAATGGCTTTTAAGCCTGCTTCCCCCAGCACCGGCTACTGCCTCCCACCCTATCCCTGGCTGCCTCTTTAGGAGGCAGCAAGGGGGGCAGACAGTCCACAGGAGCCAATACATGCGGGGAACTGGCTTAAGATCTGGCTCCCTGCATATATCAGCTGCAGACTGCCCCCCTCATGCTCCACTCTGTTTCCTTTCTATCAGAGGCAGCAGTGCGAGGATGAGGGGAGCAGGCAGATTTGGTGCTTGTGGGGAGCCTGCTTAAAGCCAGCTTCTCATGGGCACTGGCTCCCACTCTCCCTCCCCTCTTTCTTCTTCTGATAAGCCCAGGTTTAACCGATAAGCATAGGTTTATTGTTTAATAGTTTACTCAACTATATGCTAACATCCCTAATAATCCCCTCCATAATATTAGCCTTTTGAAAACAGAAGATTATACAGGATCTAGAATCATGTCAAGAAGCAAATGTTACCTGGATGAATTCTATTTGGGTCTTCTCATTTTCCAACCAGCTGATACTGTGTAAAAGCTCTTCTGCAGTAGGTGGTGCAATAGTACATGGAAGAGTTCCAATATTTTTTTTTTTTTCAAAAATCATCTATACAAGAGGAAAAAAGAAATCATATGTAATCTACACAGTTTAATTTGTCTTTGTTCTGAAGACAAACTCTTGGATTATTTCTGGCTGAATTTCTTCATTCTAAAACATGTTTCCCCTGAATAAGCCTTCATGTTATTCTACCCTTTCTTAAATAGCTTTTATTACAGTGCCAACATTTAGACAGGAGCAGCAGGTTTGAAGAAATTTTGGTGGTGCCTGGAATGCCCAGAGCTCAATATCTCCCCCTGCCACTCCAAACTCTACTCCTTACACCTGCCTAATACTCTGGGAGGGAGTTTGTTTAGCAGACTTCCTGCTTCTGATGTACTTAAAACAATTTGCTATTACTTTATCAGTTTTTGGCTGGCTATTCTTCCAACTGATTTTTGGCCTTCCTAATTATATTTTTACACTTCTTACACTTCTCTTGCCAGCCTTTATGCTCCTTTCTATTTTCCTCACTATGATTTAATTTCCTCTTTTTAAACAATGCTTTCTTTTACTTAGTGGTTAAGCTGTGGCAGCTTTTTGGTTCTGTTTTTTAAATATGGGGTATACATTTAATTTAAGCCTCTATTATGGTGTCTTTGAAAAATGCCCATGCAGCTTGCAGGAAATTTAACCTTTTGATTTTGGTTTAACCTCATTCTGTGTAGTTTACCTTTCTACACAGGTAGTTGCTGTATCTGGGTCTCTTAAATGGGGGCGTGTACATCCCCTGTGTCCAGAGGGTGGTGCAGGAGTCCTTCATTGAATGAAGTATTTAATTGGTTTTTGCAGCAAAGAGATTTTTTATCGAAAGGTAGGTCTTTGACTTTCTGTTTCAAGGTCCTCTGTAACCCTGATGCTTGGCACCAGGATATGTTTTGCATCACAATAGCTGAGGCTGTGATGCGTGCAGCTGTGTCTTCTATATCCATTGTACACTGTAGTGCAGTGCGAGAAATTGTGCGGCCCTTCTGCATAATGTTAAAGAGGATAGGCCTCTTGTGTTCAGGTAAGTATTATATAAGCTCTTGAAGTCTGAAGTAGATGCAATAGTCATAATCTGCTAGCATGGTGGTATAATTCACTGCTCTAAGGAGCAGAGTGGACGAGGAGTATACTTTATGATCCATAAGGTCCATTTCTTGTAGTCCTTGTCTTGTGGTGTTGATATAATATTGGGTTATCTGGCTCTGTGCCTAATGGAATTGACCACCGGGGAGTTTGGTGGAGGGTGAGTGAAAACGAAGTCCATTCCCTTTGGTGTAACGAAGTATTTTCGGTCTGCTTTCTTGTTGGTTGGAATGATGGATGCCGAGGTCTGCCAGATGTCTGTGGGTCCAGAATAGCCTTGTCTATGGGGAGGGCAATCTTGGAGGAGGTAGGAGGTTGCAAGGTTCGCAGAAGGCAGTACTGTTTTTCCTGAACCTCTTGTAAATTGTGCTCTTCTGCTAACGCTACCCTTTTAAAAAGTTCTTGAAACTTCTTAGACTTATCAGTAGGGTGGTGGATATAACTGTCTCGTCTGGTGAGGATGAAGAATTATGCACAGGGGACCTGTCTTCACCCTCAGACAAAGAGTCCTCCATCTCAATCTGGATTGGGGCTTTGTATTGTTATAGATGTTGTAGGTTGGGGAGAATGAGGTGCTTCTCTGGATGTTGTGGAAGGTGCAATATGATGACACTTCCTATGAAGACGGGACTCCCATGATTGCCACTGCCCAAGGTAAGAAGGAGGTGGGTATGTGTAATGATATGCATACCAGGATGGTGGTGGTGGTGGTGTATATGTGTATGTAATAGGCCCAGAGTCCTAGGATGGAGCTCTTTGTGCTGTGCTGGAGTGCTGGGAAGACAAATAGCTGCCTCACTTGGGGAGCGAGACAGAGTCAGTGATCTGGGTGAGTGTACGGATTGTATGGAGGAGCCTGGGGATAACAATGCTGGTGAAACACAGCTCCTGATAGGAGATTTATGTCGTAGATACTTCTGGGATGGTACAGAGGTACACATACTACTTGGTGCCATTGGTTCAGGTCGCAACAATTGGTCAGGAGGCGGCATATCAGTACAAGGTCTCTTAGGAACCAAGACAGGTGCCGACAAAGTTGGCAGCTTTGGTGCCAAGTGGAGTTTACATAGGCTTGGTGGTGTGGCCGGTGCCATCAGTGCCATTTGTTTTTGTTTGGGCTCCAAGTGCACCCTTTTATATGGTGCCAGCATCTTGGGCAGTGCTGTACCTGATGTGCTGGGTCTATCCATAGTGCTGAACCTCAAGGCCATTGGTGCAGAGAATAAGGATTGGGCTGGAGAAAGTCTTGTTTCTGAGACAGATTTGTCAGAAGAGGTAAAGGGATATGTTTTGTCTAGACCTTTTGGTTCAAAAGTTGACTTCATGACGCATACCGGAGCGGTCGACAAAGGCTTCAGTTGCCAACTGCGCTGCGTCTAGACTGCCGTGCTGTGCCGGATCAGCTGATCATTAGCACAGTGCGGTGGCCATTTTTATTTTAATGAAGCGGGGATTATTTAAATCCCTGCTTCACTGACTATGCCGAGTAAACTATTTTACATGGCTCCGTCGACGGAGCCATGTAAAATAGTTTACTGCATGGAGAAAGGCCCATTTGTCTTAAGTGCAGGAGATAGTCAAGGATCAGTGGGATGTGTGCCTGCAAGGGATGCACTCCCTTCTGTAACGCCCATTCAGAAAAATGTCTCCACTTGGCTGAGTGGAGGGCTTCCTACTTTCTAACAAGATCCTCCTCACCCCTTCTGAGCATGCTTGCTCCACTTCTGTCAGCCATGGATATACAATGCCGCCAAATGGAGAGATGGCAGGTTCGGGTGGCATATCCATCCCGCCCTCAGGTCCTGGGTGATTAGATCTGGCACCATGGGTAGAGCTATGGTCATGTTGAGGAGGATAGGGAACCAATATTGCCATTCCAGCGCTATCAGAATGACCATAACCTTCAGCCTCTTTACCCTGATGAGGACCTTGTGTATTGGGAGAATGCATAGAGGAGGACTGGGGACCAATCGGTCAAGAATGCATCTCCACAGGACCCTGCCTCAGGTAAGAACAGTAGTCTTGACACATCCTGTTCCTGTGAGGAGCAAAGAGATCCACTTGGGGATGACCCCACCACTGGAAGATGTTCTCAAGCACCTCGCCCTTGAGGGACCACTTGTGTGCTATGAAAGTGCGGCTGAGTATGTTCACCAGGGCATTCCCATTCCTTAATAGGTACGCAGTTTCCAAATGAATGTTGTGAGCTATACAGAACTCCTAAAGGAGTAGGGCTTGTAGGCACAGGGGAGAGGAGCGAACTCCACCCTGTTTGTTGATATAAAACATTGCTGCCGTGCTGTCCGTCAGGACCCAGACCACTTCGTGCCTCAGGTCAGACAAGAATATGCAGGAGGCCAGCCTGACAGCCCTGAGCTCCCTGACATGTGGAGCTCCTTGAAGGACCCCATTCCTTGGGTCCAATGGTCACCCAGATGCGCTCCCCATTTGGTGTTCGATGCATTTTGCTGTCAGGTTCTGGCTCATGAAAAGTACTCCTCGCACAAACCACGTCTCCCCGCATCCACCATTTGAGCAACTGGATGACTTCTTGGGGAACTGTGAGGCTCAAGTCCCATGGAGCCAGAGCCTCATTGAAAGCCCTGGCTAACCCATGGCTAGGAACCTGGCCTTGGGAAGGGAGGCCATGGATGTACTCAAGTTCAAGTGGGCTCCCACAAATTCTATAACTTGAGGTGGTACCAGGGTAGATTTCTCCTCATTTACGAGGAGACTTCTGATGAGGTCTATGTATTGCAATACTCGTTCCTTCGAGCGGCCCCGATAAGCCAATTGTCCAGATAGGGAAACACCTGAACTCTGCATCTCCTCAGGAAAGCAGATTCGGTGGCTATACACTTTGTGAAAACCCTTGGTGCTGTGGACAGTCCGAAGGGAAGGACTGAGAACTGGTAGTATTCCTGCCCCCACAGTAAACTTGAGAAACCTCCTGTGGGCAGGTCTTATCGAAATATGAAAATGTGTCTTTCAAATCAAGGGCAGCATACCAGTCCCCTTTCTCCAGAGAGGGAATAATGTGATCATCCTGACCTTTGCTTTTGTTATGAAGGCGTTGAGATCCCTTAAGTCCAAAATAGGTCTTAGGCCTCCCTTTGATTTGGGGATAAGGAAGTAATAGGAGTAAACCCCTTTCCCTTGAAGTCTTGAAGAACCCTTTCCACTGCCTCCCACTGGAGGAGCGAAGGCATCTCTTGATTCAAAAGAGATTGTGAGAGGGGTCCCTGAACAGGGACAGGAATAGGGGGTGGCAAGGAATGGAAAAGGATAGAATATCCCACTGCCACCAGGCTGAGAACTCATCTGTCGGTTGTAATCTGGGCCCAGGCCTGGTAAAAATGGGAAAGCCTGTCCCCAAAGGGGGGAGCTAAAACTGGAACTGGCACTCTGTCCTTGGGCGTACTTTCAAAACGAGTACTTGGGCTGTTGAGAAGGGGGTGGCCCTCCTCTCCTTTCCGAGTCTGAGCAATACCTGCACCTCGTGTTACACCCATTGCCACTATTATTGCCACTATTTCTAGGCCTACGATTTGCCTGGTTGGACCCGTAGCCTTGGTAGGAGGGCCTCCCGTGCGGTCTAGAGTTATAGGACTGCCTCTGCGGGGCCGGGATGTGAATTCCCAGAGATCTAAGAGTGGCCCTAGAGTCCTTCAGACTACGTAGTCTGGCATCTGTTTGCTGAGAGAATAGACCTGTCCCTTCAAGAGAATAGACCCCAAGTCCTGCAGAGTATTCTGCACTTTGAGAGGTATACTGGAGACCTGCAACCAGGCCCTATGGCACATCACAATGTCCGTGGCCATTGTGCAAGCTGCTGAATCTGCCGCATCCAGTGCAACCTGAAATGTTGTTCAGGAGATGACCCTACCCTCCTCCATCAGCGCTGCAAACTCCTGGCGGGAGTCTTGGGGCTGGCGTTC